TGCTCAAACAAGAACCCACTACGATAATGATATCATCAGCAAACCACTTCTACAGTGACTTGGATTAGGTCCTGGGGATGACATCGACAGATGGTCACATAATACGAACAGCTGGTGCACCGACATTACTACTTGTGCAATTGAGATTGACAAAAAGCGACGGCCTATCCTTTTAAAGAAGCCCGAGGTCACAACACCACTTAATCTCGAACGGTACATTGAACGGCATGATAATCTAAAGAGTGACAAGAAAGTATTGAAAAGAACTTGGGAGGAGGGTTTGCAGGAAAAGCAGTCCATCGAGGAAGGTGTTATGAAACGGATTTGTAGTCCCAAGCCAAAGACCCGCCAACGTGCTTTGACCGCACCTACACATACCCAAAGCTTGAGCTTCATCACCAAACATTTCGAGCCAATTCTTTACTCACCCACTCCTTTGCCCACTCCTTCACCTCCTCCTTATGACCGGTATCAGACCGAGGCCCATGCTGCAGACATGAGGCAGTACCTGAAAGAAACACTCCTTTATGTGAAATCGCCTCAGCCTGTGACACTGGAATCGCCCCAGCCTGTAATGCTAAAGTCACCTCAGCTTGTGACGCCGAAATTTCCTCAGTCCGCGACACCAAAACCTGACACCAGAGGGGAAGACGGCACCATGCGAGCCCAGCTTAAAGAGGAACACCGGGTCTGTGTTAGTGGTGTTGTAGCGAGTGGAAGACCTTGGCCTCATGGTATGATTGTCAAAGACATGATTGACAGTTTTACACTAGTGGATTCTCACTACTGGAAATCACGCTATCCTCATAATCAGCAGGATCGAATAAATGAAGTGTTTCAAGGTGTCTCCGTTGACAAGCGACAATTCCACAAGCAACGACGGGCTTGGCAAGGTATGACGAGAGATGAATGGGCATATGCGCAGTCAGGTGGTCATGAGCAGGAATGGGTACAATGGAGGAAGACATCTAAGGGATGGAAAGAGGAGAATGAGAGAAACCACCGCCGAATCGCAATAACTTAATAAACATGCAAACCCTTGTTGGTTGACTAAATGTTCTTTTCTCGATCTGTAGTATCAAATGATAGTTTTGTACAAGGAAATTCCCAGTATATTATATATGTATCATAATTCACATGGGCTATATGATCACCGGGGTAGTTCGCTTGGTGAGAAAGAAGAAAGCTTCGCGAGCGTCATGCGATTCCGCCTAAGGATCATCTCATCTAAAAAGTAGTCATATTTCACATGTCCCATCTCCCTCAGCATTGAGTGGTAGCCGCCCAGCAGAGATGTCGAGGGACATTGAAAGCATTGATGAGTGGGGGGCCATAAAGTTTGACCCGCTGCAAAAACATATCAGCGTGATGAATGAGAGCATGGTTAACCACTCACATAAGCCAAATTCATCGCCTACATCCCAGGCCTCAAAATCTTTATCATTATAGCGTTCACTTTCATCCTCCAAGTGGCCCCAAACTATACTTGACACAGCAATCCAGCATGTATTAATATACTGTTGAGGAATATCGCAAATTTGGGAAAGAAAGTTGCACTGGTATACAGGTAAGCGGCCAGGAGGGGAAGAAGGATCATGTTCGGAGGGCTGAGCAGCAATTATATCATTTTTGAGAGCAATAGTGAGCCGAATAAAGCGTGAGATTTGTTCATAGGTGAGGGTCTCAAGAAGGCGTGGTTGTTCATTGAGCAGTTGAAAGAGATGCCTTATTAACATTGGTACAGAGAGTTGTGAACAGCACGACCAAACTACAGTCGAAACAATATTCAACTTCCACGTGAAGTCACATGAGAGTACCGAATGCCCCTCCCGCCATCCCGCCTTGGTCCCGCCACACAGATTGCCCCAAACGTCCCCAATGCCCGAAATGCCCCGAAATGCCCCGGGCATTCAACGGGCATTTTCCGATTCACCTTCTTCCTCCGTGTGCAGGAGCTCTGCCCACTCTTGTCTAAACTGCTCTCAGTGCTTCTGGATGCTAATGGAAACCGAAGCCGACATTTTTTCCCCGAAACAAAAGACACAGCTGACAGTCTTGTCCTCCGAGGATCGTTCGAGCTCCTTTCAGTTGCCATAAGCAGGGTCGCACTCCAAAATTCTTCTCCACTGCTTTGCGAGCATCTTCATCAGACTCTGGCATGGTGTGAGTGGGAGGCATGAGGAGTAAGGTGAAAGTTGATAGCCCATCTCATTGTATGTACGTAGCGTGTCGCGCATTGTGTATTGGCATGTGATCACAAGAGGCCAAACAAGGCCAAAACGCCACCGACCTTTATGCCAGTCTCTTTTGCAAGGTAAGAGTTATGGATAAAGTTCATATTATATAATCATCGGATCAATTACATGCCGGGTACAGATAAAACCTTGCAAAACGAGACTGGGAAGGAGTCTGACATAACACCCTATAATACCGAACATCTTCCTTCTAGTTCCTTCTACCAGTACCACTTTCTAACACTACGCCGAACTAGGTATTGAGACTCGGCCCTCTCGAGGCCAAGACATTGCAATTCCCGTTCTTATCTTCTAACAATCGCAGATAGCTTTGTGCCAGCTGGTCTATTTTCGTTCAATCCTATAACTAGTGAACACGCAAGACTTGGGCATTCGTACCGGAATTTATGCTGCAAATGAATGGAAATTACAATCATTGCTCTTATCAGATAGCCCCCTCTGCTGTAAGAACACCATTTGTCCAGCAAAGACCTCATCGAAGGCCTGTCCTGGAACACGTATAAAAGATTGGGGTCGAGTACTATGGCAGCGATAGAAGCACGGAGTTTTCGCCTATCCTTTTCCTTAGGTCCCTACTGAACAGCAATGATCATGATTTACCCGTTTGTCATCCTTTGCTCGCTTCTTTTCGGTGTTACCGCGTCTCCTCTCGCTCCAACCGAAACACCTGGCCTATCTGTTCCCATTCGAAAATTCGTCAATGTAACGAGTGGGCATAATCTTGTCAATACAGGTCGCTCCCGAGCTCAGTCCTTCCGTGATCGTGCCGCGTCAAAGCGTACTTCGTCCACGAAAAGACAGGAAGTGCCTGTCGTGAACGAGATCATTACATACATCGCAGAGATCACTGTGGGCGCTGATAATCAGACGTGTAAGCTTCCCCCCCCCCCTCCCTCTTGCATGCACATGCCGATGCTCCCTCAGTTCATTTGCTCGTTGATACCGGAAGTTCAAACACTTGGGTAAGTCTTCCGAAATTTCTTTCACGTCAAAGGATTTGACGTCCAATTTCATTAGATCGGCGCCAACTCGAGCTATGCGTATGTCCCCTCATCCAGTAGCGTGTGGACAGACGACATTGTCATCGTCGACTATGGCTCCGGATATTTCTTTGGTACCTCGTCTATAATTCTTGTGCAAGTTCTGATCTAATTTTCTCTTGTATTAATTCAGGGTACGAATACTATGATACAGTAGCTCTCTCAAACGATCTAGTTATAAAAAATCAGTCGATTGGAGTTGCTGATTTCCAACAAGGTCCTTCTTCATGTTTAGCCTGCCGTCCATCGTTAACTGTGCATCTAGGATTTACATCTATGGATGGAATTTTGGGGTACTCCTTTCTCTAAATTCATGTACTCTACTAGATTCACTGACAAGTTTATGATTCCTGGCTCTCAGTATTGGCCCAGTTGCCTTAACTGATGGTACCATCCTTGGAGACCTGGTATGTTTCTTCAAACTCATAGCTGCGCTGTTGATCATTGATTAAGATCTTCGTGTTTCATTCAGGCTCCAGTGACGACAGTGCCGACAGTGAGCGACAACCTGTTTACCGAAGGAATCATCTCCGCTGAAGTTGTTGGCATTGCCTTCGTCCCTACCACCGGCGCCGCGGACGAGCCAGAGGGAGAGTTGATATTTGGTGGTCGGTACTCTTAATACTTCTGTGTTTCTTGATAATGACACCCAACTTGGGTATTTTTTTTTCGCAGACGTAGAGGGCAGCTCTAAGTATACTGGCCAAATAACTTATACGTGAGTCGCGCTTCACTTGAAGGTGAACACTCAAACTTAGACTCTTACTGTATCTTGTCTAGACAGAAGGAGACGGATTACTGGGGAATCACACAGTCCATCTCATACAGTGGTATCGAGATTATGGCGAGCGCTGTGGGCGTTGTGGACACAGGAACGACTTTGAACTATATGCCTACCGACGCCTTTAATGCGTATATAAACTCCACCGGTGGAATCTTTGATGAGGCTACAGGACTCTACGAAATCACCGAGGAGCAATATGATGCACTTGACGACTTGGTCTTCACTATTGGCGGTGTAAGTTTTGTTGCTTGTGAGGACTGAGATCTTGAACTAACATTTGGATTGGAAAGACTGATTTCCCACTGACGTCCAATGCCCAAATTTGGCCCAGGACCTTGAACGCAAATATTGGAGGAGAGGAGGGCAAACTTTATCTTGCTGCAGTTGCTACTGGTATTTACGCTTACAATTTTTTTTCTCGTCGAAATGATGGGTGGCTGATAAATTGTGCCTTTGTTTTTATTACAGATCCAGTTGAGGACCTCAACTTCATCAATGGTTACGTGTTCCTGGAGAGATATTTCTCGGTTTTCGACAACACCAACTCCAGAGTAGGGTTTGCCGCAACTGCCTATACGAATGCTACAACCAACTAGAACCAACTAGATGGAAAAAAATCATCATTACGCTTGGGTCTGCATTAATACATAGATCTGTCTGTACTATGTATCAACGGTATATCCGCTACGCGGCGAGGGCTGATGAGTTTATTTTTCATTCACATACCGAAGCGAAAGTTGTAGCCATGAACTTCATTAAAACGTTAAAATTTTTTCACCAACGTCGATCTGTTGCGAACCCACCCGCTCCGGTTTGCTCTTGTCTTCGCGATGTCACAACATGAACAATGATCACGTCTTTGGACTGGATAGAGTAGTAGTTATTACTTGTAAAAAATGCAATCTACTTCCATCAAGGTAGTTCCTTCTAGCCGACTTGAACAACTGACCTCGTCATAGTGGATAATATACATACTAGTGACGCGCTCTACCAACTGAGCTAAGAAGGACATATTATTTTGATGTTGCAAACAAAACATGTAGATGGTAAGTCTATTACCTCAGTCCTAGACGTATTAAGAAGTGCAATTGAAAACGAGCCTGAGTTCCGGTAGTGTTACGATCACTTCTTTTTCATCTTATCTTTTCCTTATCTTGTCTTATCTTTTATCTTTTGTCTTATCTTCTATCTTCCTTATCCTATATCTTGTCTTATCCTGTCACCTGACCTATTATTTATGTTTACTAATACAACATGCACTTTTCATTTACTTATATTAAACACAGTAGTCTCACAACACATATACAGCATGACGATCGAGCTTTCATTACTTACACATTTGCTTTACTTATGTTCTACTCATGTTTACCACTAACCCAGGGCGTTGGGCATTAGTAGGGCGGAGGGTTGTTTACTCGTATATAAGCTGTAGTTACTTGCTGTATTTCCTTAGCTTTGATCTCGTCTATTCTACCTGGTTTAGCCCAGAACTTTGCTTGTCCCCTTTATCGCTCCGTTGTTTGAGGTTTTCTTGAGTGTGACGCCTGGTGACATCCGTTACTAGAACCAGTCGCTGACAGAAGATCAAAGCTATTCTTACCACCTGTCACACGCTACGCGATCATATCCCTATCACAATTATCCCCGCTCACATTTTTACCAACCCTTCACAGACTTCTACTCTCTCTTCGAGCAGTGTCGCCTATAGTACAAAGGTGTAACGTTGAGTCCGACACCGTACTGGCAGACGAAAGCGTCGACTGATCACTAATCTTCGGAGAGGGGTCTTCGCGTACACATCGAGCTCCATTCCTAGACAGGGAGGGTGCATCTGTTCATCAATCGAGAGTGGAAGGCTGCTTCCCACATCATCGTACTCTTTTTTCGAAATCTTCCCCACATTACTCCCGACTTCTACAAATCCAATCATACATTTTCCCATCATCACCACCGAGTTGCATTAGTAACTCGTCTTTCCCACAACGGATTTTACCTCAAGACTAGGACGACCTAGGCTTTCGGTACAAACCGATCGTTACCGCACCCCCGATTCATCTGCTCCATCCACTTCATCTTCAATTGAACGAAACATCACCTCATTCATCCCCACCTACATACCACCCAACTACAGCATGTCTGACCCTACTCCCGCTCCCGTTACCACTACCAAGGTTCATGGCAAATCGTTACTCAGAGAACCTAGTATCTTTGACGGCGATAAAGCCCAGTTCAAAGAATGGCGCCGAACTCTTTTTGCCTATATTCGTGATCCGAGGAATAACGTCACTACGGATAATGAAAGAATTGACATTGCGATCTCGTACATGCGAGGTCCCAAGGTCAGCAGCTGGGTCCAGAACTATACGGATGACAACTTCAATGACAACGAGGAAGAATGGAGAGTCACGTGGAAAGGATTCAAGGACGCATTGAATGCCTCCTTCCTGGACAAAGGACTCACAGAGAATGCACAGGAGAAGCTAGAACATCTCCGCCAGGGCCCCAATGAGAGGGCAGAGGATTTCTTCAAAGAATTTGAAGTCATCATGCGAGATGCCGGGTATGCCAAGGATGCCCCTTATGTCATTAGGTTAATCGAGATGAACGTAAAATCGAAGCTGATCGACCAAGTATATGGCACCAGTAATGAGCGAATCGAGAAGTTTGACGAGCTCAAACAGAAGATTATCAGCATCGATGACATGTGGTGGCGTCGTGAGGAAATGCGGCGCAACTGGTCAAACAGATACCAGCGGAATGCCGGACAAGGGCCTAGTAACCAGAGATGGCAACCACAGACGACACAGACTCCCATAACTAAGGCTCCAACCCCTGCGGTACCTACCCAGGATAGGAAAGACGGTACTGGGACGACTTTCAAAGGTGCAGGCAGACCGATGGACATCGACGCTGCGCGTCGCAACAGGGAATGCTTCCATTGTGGCAAGCAAGGCCACATTGCGAAGTTCTGTCCAGAGAAAGCACCGAAGCCGCAGTTCGTCAGAGGCATGTGGAGCCGGATGACACAGGAGGATCAGGAGGCTATGGCCAAGGAATTGGGTTTTGTCCTGCCCCAGCAGTAGACGCAGGTCTGCCGGGGCCAATCTCAGAATCAGTATCGGACTTTTCGTCATCGTCATATGTAGACAGTCAATTTAGTTTTGAAATTGGTAGTACTGGTACATCCAATAAGAATAACTTATCTACAATGACGACCCGAACTGAGAAAAAACCTGTGAGATATGAACCAAACACACCTGAATGGGTGGCGCAGCGGGTACAAATGGACAAACTCCCCATGGCTATAGGAATCCTTAGAGCCTGGATGCCTGAAAGTCGTGTCAGAGAAGCATCGGAAGAAACGGTATTGGCTATACGAAATCTGAATCATGCTACCGCAACTGAAGCAGTTACCAATCTCAAAAGTCGTAAGAGATTCGTCCGAGGTACCCGAGGACGTGAGCTAAAGTTGCGAGCCACTATTGAGAATATCGACAATGGTGTGCAGATTGAAACGGAAGCCCTCCTAGACAGCGGAGCCACAGGATCCTGTATCAATAAGGATTTTGTAGAACAGCACCAGCTCACTGTTAAGGAGTTACCAGTCAAAATGCCGGTCTATAATGCCGATGGCACTCTGAACAAAAATGGTTCCATAGAAGGCTATGTACAAGTCCGAATGGTGATAGGAGATCATGCCGAACGAATAGATATGGCAGTTACCAATTTAGGCAAGACAGATATCTTCCTAGGCATAGATTGGCTACGTTACCATAACCCCAGCATTGATTGGAAGGAATCCACGTTGACGTTCGAACGTTGTCCTGACAAATGCGGGTATCTGCCACACTATGAATCACCTGAAGATGATGGTACAGGGGAAAAGCTTATCGATGGTGAACGGATCTTCTGGTTCGATTGGGATGGGTATCTTTCCGACCAAAGTCATATCAAAGTACAAACTGCTACTACAGATGCCGCTGCTCCATACCTTGCTGAGTATGCTGATGTATTTAGTAAAAAGGACTTTGACCAAATGCCAGAAAGACGCCCATGGGATCATGCCATAGAACTAACGCCAGGTTCCAAGCCAGTCGATTGTAAAGTCTATCCCCTCAGCCCGCCAGAACAGAAGGCTTTAGATGAATTCCTAGAGGAAAACCTTAGGTCGGGACGAATACGGCCATCACGTTCACCCATGGCTTCACCTTTCTTCTTTGTCAAGAAGAAAGATGGAACACTACGGCCCGTACAGGATTATCGAAAGCTAAATGACATGACTGTCAAGAATCGATATCCACTCCCGTTAATCCAGGAACTCATCGATAAGCTAAAGAATTCCAAAATCTTCACCAAGATGGACGTCCGATGGGGATTCAATAACATCCGGATCAAAGAAGGAGACGAATGGAAGGCAGCGTTCCGAACAAACAGAGGCTTGTTTGAGCCTACGGTCATGTTTTTCGGACTTACAAACTCACCTGCCACGTTCCAAGCATTCATGAATCATATCCTTCGAGAACTCATTGATCAAGGACACGTCATTGTCTACATGGATGATATCCTTATCTTCACGGACAACATTGAGGAACACCGAGTCATTGTCAGAAAGGTCCTTGATATCCTAAAAGCCAACAAGCTGTACTTGAAACCTGAAAAGTGTACCTTTGAGGCTAGGGAGGTTGAATATCTTGGAATCATCGTAGGCAATGGACAAATCCGGATGGACCCAAAAAAGGTTGAAGCGGTCCGAACCTGGCAGCCACCACAGAAAAAGCGCGAACTACAATCGTTCTTAGGGTTTTGCAACTTCTTCCGCCGGTTCATCCGAGACTTCAGTAAAATTGCCAAACCCCTGACACGGCTCACAGGGAATACAGCTTGGGAATGGACTTCTCTTGAACAAGATGCGTTTGATCGACTGAAGCATCGGATCATTGAAGATGTTACTCTCATTATCCCAAGAGAAACTGGAAAGTTCCGGGTTGAAGCTGATTCTTCTGATTACGCAAATGGTGCCATATTGTCACAGAACGTCGATGGAAAATGGAGACCAGTAGCTTTCAGGTCCAGGTCACTCAACGAGGTTGAACGGAACTACGAAATTTACGACAAAGAGATGATGGCCATCATGGACTCCCTCTCGGACTGGAGGCAGTACTTGCTGGGCGCAAAAGAACCTGTTGAAGTCTTCACAGACCACCAAAATCTCCAGTATTTCCGGAAACCTCAGAAGTTGAACCGACGACAAGCCAGATGGGTAGTTGAAATCGCTGAATACCATATCGAACTCTTCCATAAGCCCGGGAAATCAATGGGAAAAGCCGATGCCCTGTCACGGATGTCAGGCCTTGAGAAAGGGGAGAACGACAATACCAACGTCACGCTACTAAAACCGGAATTTTTCATTTCTCAGATAACGGATCAGACATCTGCCCCTGAAGACGATCTGCTTAATCTCATCCGAAGAAAGAAAAATCAGCGAGACAAGTTAGTACGGGTTGCCCTCGAGTCTAAAGACAAGGAGTGGCTTGAAACTGAGGACGGACTAGCAGTTTGGCAAGGACGCATCTATGTCCCTAAGGACAAAGAACTCAGAGGACGAATCATACAGGCACATCATGACGCCCAGACAGCAGGACACCCGGGGCGCTATAAGACTATCGAGTTGATTACATGCAACTACTGGTGGCCAGGAATCAGTCGAGACGTCAGGATCTACGTGGAAGGCTGTGAAAAATGTCAGGCCACAAAGACACATCGTACCAAACCTGTAGGACCGTTACATCCACATGACGTACCATCTGAGCCTTGGGAAATCATAGGAACAGATATGATTGGCGAATTACCGGAATCTGGAGGGTATAACGCTATCAGCGTGTTTGTTGATCACTTCACAAAGAGGTTACGGCTCTTTGCCACGCATACCACGATAACATCTGAAGGAATGGCACGTGTCTATCGTGACAAAGTATTCCCGGTCCATGGAATGCCCCGGAAGATTGTCCA